ACCATCGTACTCCGATGAGTAAACTATGGGATATCTTGAGGAAGTTCTCTCACAAAACCAGGCTAACTAGACGCTTACCAGTCCTTGTCCAACATGACAGAGTTATTGATGACCCCACAGAAGTGGTTAACGCCTTCGGGCAGTTCTTTGAGGAACTTAGCTCGCCAGCTAACTACTCCAGGGACTTCCTGCTCAGAGAACGAGACATGGCAAGGTCAATGCCAAGTTTTTGCTCGGACAACCAGGAAGTTTACAATAGAGAGTTTTCACTCAGGGAGTTAACAGAGGCTATTCATCGATCAGGTTCAACCTCGGTAGGACCAGATCAAATACATTATGATTTCTTTCGCCATATGACTGACCCTCAGCTTCGGCAACTTCTGAAGCTGTATAATTATATTTGGACAAACGATGTTTTCCCCTCAGAATGGCGCCATTCTTACCTGATTCCCATTCCGAAGCCAGGAAGGGATGTCAACCAGGTTTCATCTTACCGACCTATACAACTTACGTCGTGCATGTGCAAGTTAATGGAACGCATGATTGGGAAGCGTCTAACGTGGTGTGTGGAAGAGCACGGGCTACTCACCAAATATCAATGTGCGTTTAGGCCTGATAAATCCACGGCTGACCATCTTGTCCGTCTGGACACACATGTACGTGACGGTTTTCTTCACCATGCCAGCACTTTGGCTGTGTTCCTCGATATAAAATCTGCATATAACTTGGTCTCCCCTACGGTACTACTGCATCGCATGTATGCTGCGGGTTTCCGAGGTCACATCATGCATTTTATTCAGAATTTCTTGAAAGATCGCACCTTTCAGGTCCGCTGCGGCACATTATCTGATACATTTATGCAGAATTATGGCATCGTGCAGGGGGGCGTGATTTCACCTATCTTATTCAACCTTGCCATCGATTCCATCGCCGACGTGCTACCCCCAGGAGTTTCGTACGCAATTTATGCTGACGATGTCACCATATGGGTGCAAGGGCGACGAATCCCGAAGCTATTTCGGAAATTGCAAGATGCCCTTAACAATATTGGTGAGTGGGCTTCAGGCACTGGGTTTACATTTTCTAGTACCAAGTCTAATGCGATCCTTTTCCGACGTGGATTACGAAGGGTCGACCTATCAGTGTTCCCTCCTTTGTGCATCAATAATGACCCCATTCCCATTGTTGATGAGGTGAAATACCTTGGAGTTATTCTCGACTCCCGAATGAACTTACATTCCCATGTAGAGTATATTAAAAGCCGGGTCCAAAAGAGGATGGCTGTGCTTAAATGCGTCGCTGCAAAGAGCTATGGGGCAGACCGAATCATATTGACCCGAATGTATAAAGCAATGATTCGACCAATCTTGGAATACGCTTCATACATTATCGATGGTCCACACACGCGACGAGTCGAATCTCTCGAGACTCTTCAGAATGCATGTTTGAGAGTTGCAACGGGGGCCTTACGCACCTCTCCTGTTCGAGCATTGCAGGTTGATGCCGATATTCCCCCGTTATCTCTCCGTCGCAAAGAGTTACTCCTTCGGTATTTTCTGAAGGTTTTGAGTGATGAACACCACCCTTGTCACAGTATAACAGACTTGACCGCCTCTGAGGAGCTCTACCGAGGATTATCAGACCAATATCTTCGCAGAATTTCTGGATTCACGGTGTGCTTACGCCTCCAGCGCATGATTGCCGACTTCGATTATGAACCACCGACAGGCCTTGTCAAACCCTCAGCGCCTTTGGCACCGTGGATTCTGCCGTGTGTCACGACGCGCCTGCTAACTAACCAGGATAAAGCGAGCCGCTCCACGATAGACGTGCAGGCCGAGTTTCAGACTCTTATCAGCGAGTACCCTGGATATCGGATACTGTACACAGATGGATCCAAGCGGCATGAGTCGGTGGCTTGTGCATTCACCATTAACAATGCTTTCTTTTCGTTTAAGTTACCGGAAGGTCTTTCTATCTATACAGGCGAACTAGTAGCTATACTAGAAGCCCTGAAGTTTGTCTGCACCCATCGCATTCCACGTTCCTTGATATGCACCGATTCTCAATCGGCTGTGAAAGCGTTAGGCATGGCGCACGGCACCACGAGGCACCCGTTACTTACCTCTATATTAGAATTAAACCATCGCATTGCCGAGGATGGAATGAGGTGCATTCTGATATGGGTACCGGGACATAGCGGTATAGCTGGAAATGTGCGAGCTGACTATTGGGCCGGGAAAGCACATGACAAACCAGAGGTTACACCGGTCGCAGTTGGTTATCGTGAATATGTCCCAGAGGTCCGACGGCGCGTTCGAGACCAATTTGCTACCTTATGGCAAGAGTTTCGGCCCACTCACCTTAAGACGATTAAGCCTACCATAGGAAGGTGGACGTCCGGCGCTCGTGACAGTCGCCAAGAAGAAGTAGTGCTGTGTCGCCTGAGACTTGGCCATACACTCCTTACGCACTCGCATGTCATGGATCGTGCTCCACCACCGTTGTGTACACTTTGTCGATGCATTATCGATGTCAAACATCTCCTAATTGATTGCCCTCAATATCGCACGACACGCCAACGTTTGCGACGAACATGTGGAGATGCTGGTCTCCCGTTCACAATGGCGACTCTGCTCGGTGATACAGAACCTAATGTATTGGACGCAGTGTTTCTTTTCTTGCGCGATTGTGAGCTGCTTGACAAACTGTAAATGCGGCGGGTTCTATTGATATACCGGAATTGACAGTACTTCTAACAACTGTGTAATGTTTGATTGGCGGCTACTTACTTGCCGCCCCCACTGATGATGTTACTTTTACCTGTGTTTGTGTGGTGATTCTAGGCTTTGGAAACTTGGCGGTACACATGGAGGTCCCCGCTTCAAAATTAGTTAATCCCTATAATATAGACATCATTCTATACAGAAACTCATGATTAGTAAGAATTATGTGGTTTCCAGTTATCTGATCGATAATTTTAAGAGCAAAAGCTAACTAATCGTATTCTTACCACGATCTCGGTGGAGCCGCACGACGGTCTGTTGTCAACATGTCAATTGTTGTTAAATACCATTACGCAGAAATGTAGTATCTTCATAAAACCCAACACACTAGGGGAACTGTGGGAAACCGGGGTTTTGGGTGGGGGGGGGGTACTATTTTTATGAAAAAGTGATAGATATACACAAATAATTTTGGAATTACGGTTCTGTATTTTTAATTTTTAATAGAAGAGAATTCGGTAATTTTCTTTTTCGGTAAAGCGCCTCACGAAATGCGCCATATCTGTCGACGAATGATAGCGACTTTTCTGAAAAAGTCTTCAGAAATGTTTCGTTCGTAAATATTTTCGTTCGTGCATTTTCTTTATTTTCGTTTTTTGGTCCGTGCACTTTTTTGTCTGTACATATTTTCATTCTTCGTCCAACATTTCTTCGCCTGTACTGTACATGTTTTCGTCTGTGGCCAACTCGTGGCGAAGCAGTGCAGTGCCGAAGGCAATGCCTTAGCAGAGATTACAGGCAATAGTAAATCAAATATTTTTAGGTTAAATGGTTATGTATCTGGCTTCAGGCCGAAGGCCTGAAGCCTGATGCATGACCACTTAACCTGAAAATATTTGATTTACTATTGCCTGCAATCTATTCCTGCAAGTAACTATTTCCTTATCCGGTAGGCAAAAATCAGTAGGTTAGGTTAGGTTAGGTTAGGATTTCCGGTAGGCAAGAATCAGTAGGTTAGGTTAGGTTAGGTTAGGTTAGGTTTCTTAATGCCTGGTAGGCAAAAATCAGTAGGTTAGGTTAGGTTAGGTTAGGTTAGGATTCCCGGTAGGCAAGAATCAGTAGGTTAGGTTAGGTTAGGTTAGGTTAGGTTTCTTTATGCCTGGTAGGCAAAAATCAGTAGGTTAGGTTAGGTTAGGTTAGGTTAGGACACCTCTTTGAATTTCATCGAGTAATAATCGCTTTTCTCAAATTTAAAGTTGTCCGCGCTTTAGACATAACAATTTGAGAACCTTGGTATTATTTGTCATTTCTGGCTGCGATAAAAAATTGTGCACGCGAAACGCATCTGATATTTTTGCAGCCTTGATTGTTTATAAATGGTGTTCATCCGCCAGCATGGCGTCAGCGTCGGTTGCGAGGGGCGAGGTATGTGGTGTTTTGGGGTCAATTTTGCCAGCTTTAAATGGTAAGCTGTTGCATTTTACTGGCAGGGAATGTTAGATAGTTGGATTATAGGATGTTGTGATACTAATTGGATTCATATAAGTAAAACGAAAACGCTTGGGGACCTCAGTGTTTCCGACCGGAAACTTTCTTTCGGTGTGTTTTGATTACTGATTCGTCTCTGTGGAGGTCTAATGTGAACGTTACGGGAGGTCTAAGTGAAACAACAGTGCACTCTGAGCACATGTCCTCTGTGGTTCGTGTTTTCTCTTCTCTCCTTTATTTTAGTATTTGGTAGTATATATAGCTAGCTCGTAGAGTGGTCTGAAGTTCTCTCGCTCTCTCTTTCTCTGATTACCTGGTAACACTCTGACTAGAAGAGTATTGATCTTTCTTTCATCATTTTGTAGATTGCTGCCCAATCAAACTAACACTAACACTGCTACTCAGGTCTGTTCCTTCTGGCTTAATCCTTCCCCGGCAATTTCCTCCCCTGGCATTTGTCCTTCCCTAGGTTTTTTCCTTTCCCGGCTACCCACAACCCTGCTTAGTTACCGCTTAGTACCTACCAACCCCGACACTACATCGTGGAAGATCGGACAGTTGAATGCAAGAAACGAAGAAGTTGGACGCTAGGGCCTGACGGCTGCGCGCCCTAACCCACAAAGAAGAAGAAGAAGTTCGTAAAACACTGAACAAGCATGGATGCGCAGCAAAGTGGTGCTCAAGCCATCCATCAAACAAACATTTTCAAACCCGAAAGTTAATATTTCAGGCTAACAGCGGTACAAAAACCGGTTAATTCTGCAAAATATGGAATACGAGACCTACCGCGCCGGAATCAGTTCCTAAAAGGACGAGATGAGAAGCCATCGGCGTTGCCCTATCTATAAAATCATTTGCTCAACTCCTGATTTTCCTGGCATTGATCACTTTTTATTTAAAATTCATCACATTTTTTAAAAATATTTTAGCATTTTGTTGAAGCTTTTGAATAAAAACGTTCAAAACAGACTTCAACCAATGTAAAAATATTGTCTTTGATTTGTGCTGCCACCTATAAACCTCACCGTTTGGCTCATTATTTTTCTCATGTAGATGGCGGTAATGTTTGTTGTGTGTGCTGTGTGGGAGGCACCAAGGGAGGCACGGGAGGAGGCCATTGCACTTGATCAAGCACTTGATTGCTTGCAAAAGCGAGACCTTTGGCTTGCCCGGGCTGTATTTACGTTTAGTAATTTAAATGCCATAATGCTTTAAATGCTTGAAGCTGCAGACACAGCCATTCCTCGGTACGTACCATCCCATGCCAAAGGTACGTGTATGGGTACCTACCTGGGCATTATATGGTGGTTTTAGGTTTTAGGATTTACTAGTGGGCTTGGGTAGACCGGGTCTATTCAGGGCCCACATCCGGATAAGGTCAGAAATGACTCAGTGAGGATTCCTTGTGGCCCAGTGCTGGTCCAACCGTTTTTAAAGCCGTTCGTAGTTCGTAGTTGGTGCAAGATAGGCAGAGCCGTGTGATGTTTTTTAAGTCAAAGGTTAAGTTAAAAGTTTATCTAGTTTGTCAATTGATGGTAGTGCTTTTCTTGCCACTGATATCAGAAGTAGAACTTTTTAACTGCCTATATATGACACACTCTTAGTGGCAGTTGAGATAGCATACCAATAGCAAGTAAAATTGTCTGCTATTGATAATGTTGTTGGTGGCAGTTTTGCTCTTATGCGCCAATTACGTAAAGTAATTAGACATCTGTTCAACATAAAGGCAAAAAAGTAAAATCATTTTCTCTCATTCTCTCTCTCTCTCTCTCTCTCTCTCTCTCTCTCTCTCTCTCTCTCTCTCTCTCTCTCTCTCTCTCTCTCTCTCTCTCTCTCTCTCTCTCTCTCTCTCTCCTCTCCTCTCTCCTCTCTCCTCTCTCCTCTCTCCTCTCTCCTCTCTCCTCTCTCTCTCTCTCTCCTCTCTCTCCTCTCTCTCCTCTCTCTCCTCTCTCTCTCTCTCTCTCTCTCTCTCTCTCTGTCTCTCTCTCTCAGGTATGTCTGAGGGGTAGGATCAGCTATCATTTAAGACATTCCCTCTCCCCCACCCCTCCTAGAGAATGTCACGCGACTGACCTGTCAATTGGCTAATGGTGTGAAAAACAAAGTCATAAGGACTGTGGTAAGTTACCACTCCTAGAACTTCCATCTCCCTGCAAAAATAAAACTCCCTGACACAGAGGGTCAATAATTTTTAATATTTCTGGATCCTGCAGAATATGTTTATCCGACAATGTCACTCACAGGTCCTGGCTCCTAGTCCTGACCCGTGACCTGAAAATGCTGTGGGCTTTAGACGATCCAGCTTGAATCAAAGGTCAAGCATGCCAACTTTCAACTCTATCACTTGCATGTTCCGAACAATCGTGAAAAACAACGTTGGGTCTAAATCTAATTCAATATACCCTTGAGGAACAGAAAGCACTTCCCCTTCTTTTCAGCCTGGCCCTGGGAAGGGTAAAGTGTGAAGTGCATGTATATCAAAGACGTGATGACTCATTGTCACGGCTGACTCAATTTCACGGCGACAAAGGCCAGGACAGTCTGGTTACGCTCATCGAGCGTGCCGCCGGCGCCAGCTGTGGCTTTTTATCGCAGTCACAGTTGTGCCGGACGATGGACACCTGTTTAATTGGCTAATGAGGGTAGCCCAATGAAGTCGAGTGATGTGTGTGTCAATCAGTAGGATCACAGGCTGCCATCATGCCGCGCTCGGTGCTCTTCGCGTTCTGCTTCCTGTTGCTGCTGTCGGCAGCCCGGACAACCCTCGGACAAGCGGTGACTGTAGACGAAACCGGCGTCCTAGTGCAGGAGTCGTCTACAGAACCCACCGACGTTACCGGAGAAGCGTTGCCCGTTGTAGAACCGTCGGTGGGACCAGAAGCGCCGGAATCGGCTGGTGGAGCAGGTACCATCGAAAGTGACGACGAAGACCACCACGATCACCACCATGAGCATGACGGACACGATCACACGGACCTCGAACACAGCGAGGATTCAGACTGGGTCTACCGCTCGGAGAACTCCACCAACATAGCCGTCAACTCTACCTACGAGCCTGAAATGAACGCCACCACGGAGTTTCCCGGCAACTTTACCACCGACCTGCCGGGGAACACCACCGGATCGCCCACCAACAGCTCGGGTGCGCCGCTGTCCTGTTTTGTGTGCAGCACAGTGTCTGAGCCCGTGTGTGACGACCCGTTCAGTGAGACGGCTGCCGAGGCCGCCGGCCTGCTGCAGGAGTGTCCAGCGGTGCCCGGCCTGCGCACCGTCTGCCGCAAGTCCTGGCAGGTGGTGCCCGGAGACACGCGGGTCATCCGCTCCTGTGGACACGATAACGACGTGCGCGCCTGCTTCGTGACGGCCGAGGCGACGACGGCCAGCCACGTCTGTCACTGCTATGAGGACGGCTGTAACGGCGCCTCGAGGGCTCAGATGACGGTGCTGGCGGTGCTGTCTTTTGTCGTTGTCCAGGCGTTTCGCTAAGGATTGAGGCTGATTGCCGAGCTGCTGCTTTACCAGGGTACCGGCTCCCTATTAACTTATTTTTGTTTATTGTAGAAGGTGGCTTGTTTCTGTACAAGGACTGAGTAGGTAGTAACTAATGGCTGCTATCAAATGATCGTGGACAGTGTCGAATATTGTGGACGTAATTAGACAACGATTGTGGCGGTATATGGTGGCATTGCAGTGATATTGTGTGAAAAATGTTCAAGATAATGAGGGCATTCCAAATAAACTTTACTTTCGGTCATTATGTTTGTTTGTGTTTAGCCAATGGTGATGTGGATCAGCGAAATTTGATACAATTTCTCCATCCTACCCCGGTTTTATTCACCGTGCACTTTTGCTGGAATTATTCACCCTGGCTGGGCTTAATATAATCAATTTTGATGATCTAACTAGACAGACGACCGAATAGAAATAGAACAATAGAGCATCGATTGATAAATCTGAAGCACGACACAACTGTTAGCACTCAGTTAATACCTATATTTATCTGTCATCCACAAATTTAGATGACAGCCTTTTACTGACCGTGTTTCTGCCTGTTTCGCTCAGGAGTCTGAAGTTGCAAAGCCGGCAGCCGCGGAACTCTAAACGCTCTCCTGTGGTGGAGTGTACCGGCTGCACCTGACGCTGAACGATGCTGTGTACGTACGTGGTGCGACGGTGGCTGCGTCTCTCCACCGCGAGACATGTGGTCAAACTCACTCCGCAACAGGTCAGTTGGCAGGACATGACACAGCGGGTCAGTTGGTAGAGCTCACTACACAGTGGGTCAGTTGGTAGAACTCACTACACAACAGGTCAGTTGGTAGGACATGACACAGCGGGTCAGTTGGTAGAGCTCAGTGCACTTCAGGTCAGTTGTTTAAACTCACCCCTTTGCAGGTTAATCGGTGTAACCTCCAGACTAGGTCAGTTAGTAGACTCCTCTCCATAAATGGTCAGTTGGTAGAGCTCATTCCACATCAGAATGGCCTAACTCAATAGAATCAAGCCCAAAATGGTCCAAATCAAAATAATGTTAACGAGCCGCCAATTGTCAGTTGTTCCAACCTCCCCCGCGTCGCATCTGGAAAAGGGGCAGGTGAAATGTGTTTCAACGATGTAATTATGCCTGTTTGAACTGAAAATTTGTAATTTTCAAAGGGGCAAGTGAAATGCGTTTCAACGGTGAAGTCATGCTTGTTTGAACCGAACATTTTTAATTTTCAAAGGAATCCCTGACTCAGAACTCTTGCCTGACACCCCGGCTTACATCCGTTTGCAGGTGACCAACATCCTGCAGACGAACGAGCACACGCACGGCGTGAGCCAGTCGGGCGTGGTGGGCCACTATGACACCAACCAGCTGCCTTCAAACAGTCCGTGCGAGGACCAGCGGTCCGAGGCTGTCTGCCGGTACACGGGAGGTGAGATGAACTGGACAATAAGTGGACATGTTGTGTGGTGTTTGCAAGTAAACTCATGGCTCTGTGCTTGATATGTGGGAGCTATCATAGCCACCGGTACCATGATGGTTCGGAGGGTTATAAGGGTATTTTCTAGCGATCATTGCTGAAATTTATATTGATATTTATATTGGTTGGCAGTTTTACTTCCATTTCCTACGAAGTTGAAGTCGCTACTGCACTTATATTCTTCGCCGCTAACCATCTGTTCCTCCCCGCCCAGACCACCTACTCGGCGTGTACGACGGTCATGGCGGCGGCGCGTGCGCCGTGGTCACCGCTTCCCGTCTGCCGTCCTATATCGCCGCCTCGCTGCTCGGCCAGGACCAGCTGATGGAACACCTGGAACGGCTCGAGGTGGGCAGCGACACCCAGCACTCGCTGCTGGAGCGGTGTAACGCCATCTCCGTCAATAATGCACAGCTGGAGGAGGTGCATGAAAAGAGCTACGCCAGGTGAGCCAAATTCCGGATCATTGATGAGCTAGAATATAGCATAACTGCAATGCCTGTGTACGTCACTTGTCAGCGTTTGTCTTGGTTGCGAATTGTTTTGCTAAGTTTCAGCGCATGTGCCAGGGATGGACTCTGATGTGTGTCCAACCGGACCAAAAGTGCACTTGGTCAAGGTCGAATGCTTATTTCTGCACTTACAGGCCTCGATAGAAACCATATTCCGCAGAGTAAAGAATCTGTCAGGTCCGGCAAATCAAAGCCAGATATACGCAGGGATTGGTTGTTGTAAAAAGACTGAATCGCTCTGACTGACGATTTACTATCGATCTCAGATAAACCTCACAATTTGTACTAAACTGCTCTCCCTGCTGGCAGTTTCGTGCGGGACCTGGCAGAGTCGGAGCCGGCACAGGACATCGGCCACGGCCTCCAGCGAGCGTTTCTCCGGCTCGACGAGGACATCGGCCGCGAGGCGGTCGACGCGGTCGAGTCGAGCTCGCCGGTGGCCGTGGCGGCGCTGCGTGCCGCCTCCTCTGGGTGTGTGGCCTGTGTGGCTCACCTGGCCCAGAGTCGACTCTACCTGGCCAACACCGGAGACTGTCGGGCTGTGCTGGGCGTGTTGAACGAGAACGGACACTGGGTGGCGCGGCCGCTCACCAAGGAACACGACTGCGACAACCCGGACGAGGTGCAGCGCATCACCGAGCGTCACCCGAGCAGCGAGCACCACCATCTCCTCAAGGACAGCCGACTGCTCGGCATGCTGGCGCCGCTCCGAGCGATCGGCGACTACCGCTTCAAGTGGCCGATAGACCTGCAGGAGCGTATTGTGCCCGGCGGGCCGTTCCCGGAGCTGAAGACTCCGCCCTACCTGACGGCAGCTCCCGAGATCACCTATCACAAACTAACCCCTAGAGATCGGTTTCTGATCATGGCCTCCGACGGTCTCTGGGAGCAGCTGCCCGCCAGCGAGGTAGTCCGACTCGTCGGCGAGCACGCGCACGGAAAGACAACGCTAACTCCTCTGAGACTACCGCGGCGTGACCACACTCTCAATCAGCTTCTTGAAATGCTAGAGGCGCGGCGGAAAGGCATCGGCACCAAACCTCAGGACGCTAACGCGGCGACCCACGTGCTGCGGCACGCTCTGAGCGGCACGGAGTACGGACTGAACCACGGGCGGATCTCGCAGCTACTGACCCTGCCCGAGGAGGTGGTGCGCCTGTTCAGAGACGATATCACCATCACGGTAGTCATGTTCAACCCAGATGCGCTGAGACCCAACTGATCGAGCACGACTGGCTCGGATTCTCGCTGAAGCTTATACGAGCAGGCAACACGGGTAGCCGTATTGCTTCCTGTTTGCAAGGCTTTGAGAACACCTCGGGACGTTACGATGATGTGAAAGTAATGTACGGATGCTTGGCTTTTCTGCTTTGCGTCCGAAAGCTTGCCGTGTCAACTGTTTTAAGTTATGGACATTGAATGTAGGAGTATTACAATAAACGCAAGTAAGTCAATGGCATATCACACACCAAGCCCATCTAAATCAACTGACAGTATCCCTTTAGGGTATTCGGTCAGCATCACATAACAGGAAGGGCAAGATCATAACACGGTCTGCCACGCACTACCCCGTTCAGGCACTCCTCCGTCGCCCAGCCTAACCCCTCCCACCCTCCCACCACCTCCCACCGCGCAGCGCTACCCCTCCCCTCCGGGCACAGATAATCCGCGCCTCATTCATAGCTCGCCCAATGACCCCACTTCCTTTGACAGCGGCCGCTCTCTGCCGCCGGCTGCCCCCTCCCCCTCCCCGTCGCTGTTGTTCCCCGCCCCGATACCGCAGTGCCCCTCCCCCCTCCGTTGCCTGGTCACGGCCGGGCCGACTCCGCCCTTTCCAGGGGGGACGGAGGGGGGTCCGTCGCCTTCGTCGGTGGCGTCGTGCCAGTCGGGGCGGTGCCGCCGCGGGGTCGCCTGTACGACCCCGTGTGTGCGGCAGTCAGTGCGTCAGGAGGATGGTGATGAGACAGCACCTGCTGTTGGTGAAGAGAGACGGTGTGCTCCGACGCCGGACGTCGTTCAGAGGTCAGTGACTCGTCGGAAGGACGGCATGAATATTTTGGTGAGTGGTGATGGGCCGGCCGCCCTGCCCCCGGCTGGGGGAGGGGCGCCCCGCCCGGACTGACCGCTGCTGGCTGGACGGTCCGCGACCCGGGGGCCCGGCGCCCGGGGCGCTGGTCACGTGATAACATGCCTCGACTCCGGGCGTGGCGGCCGCTCTAGGCAGTAATCACTGCATACCGCGGTGTTTGTATGTCGCGTCGGCGTATCGTATCGCCTTACTGTATGCACCTGTGAGCTTCAAGGTTTGATTATGTCCAACCAACATGTCTATGCTACGTTGACATTTTTCATAAGCACCCGTGCCACTGAATCGATGTCCTAACCTAATCAGTCATTAGCCAGATGCGTGACGTGCCGCTATACCTTTGTGTCTGACTCATTGACCCCGATTCCGTCTGTGACTTCCAGAGTCCTGGTAGCTGCGGCGGCGGCTGGGCCGAGTGTCGTCTGATGACCTGTTGGTGCCGCCGGCGGCTGCTGGCAGGCCACCCGCCGGGGCGCGAGCATGGCCCGCTCGCTCGCCGACGCGACCACCGCCCTCGTGTCCGTTTCCACCACCATGGGCATGGATCAGGTGGGATTTACTGGCTGGAGAGACTGTTGAGTCGGTGTAGAGGCTGTAGAGTGTGGGTCTGTGTGTGTAGTCTGTGTAGTCTCCAGAATGCTGTGGAGTGTAGAGTCTATGTAGAAGCTGTAGAATTATGTAGAGTCTGTAGCCTTTGTAGAGTGTGCTGTAAAGGCTGTAAACCACTCCACTGTTAGCAAGCAGGGCCAACAGGGCCAACAGGACACGGGTCATTGTGAAACTGTGGATGACCGAGCGTCCAAGCGAATGCTAACGGGCTATTGTTGTCTGTAAAACGATCTAATATCCTGCTCCTTATTCGGGACTGCTAAGCGGTTACCTCCAATTTGCGCGGGCAGTGACCGTCGTTGTCATGCCGACCGGCATAGAAACGACTGGTGGGCGTTTCGTTTTTAACGGTATGACCGAAATGTGTGTTTTTTTTTTTTTGGTTAGGCCCTTTCGGTCCAATGGGACCATTTCAGAGCCGGGAGGATGATAGGATATAGGGGGAGACATTGGCCTGGGCAGGCACCCTAGTGAGTCGCCGGGGCTGAGCCCGTCCAGAGGACAGGCCACCCAGCCCCAAGGCACTAACTGCACCCGGCTACGGGGTGCGCTCCCTCGGGAGCAGCGGTGCCGCTCCAAGGGAGCAGCCCGCATGAGATAAAGTTGCCTGTCCAGCCCGGAGGGGGGTTGCGGCATGGAGGAGAAGGATTTCTGTATCCTGAGGATAGAAGCACGGAACGGTGACCGAAATGTGTCGATCGGTATCTATTTTATCTCTGAGGTCTCGCTCACCGTGCGTTCTCTGCGTTTGGCAGGTTCTTCCTGGTCTGTACATTGGCAGTTACCGCGACTCCAAGGATATCCAGCAGCTGTCAGCCAACCACATCACCCATATCATCGCTATCCACGATACCGCGAAAAAGTGGTACAAGGTGGGTCCCACGATGGCATATGACGTTCAATATTCATTGCTGTTACTCGATTTCAGCGAATTTGACATATAACTGTCACGATTATCCGAACAAGCACGATAACGTTTGTCCTCGAACCACCAAAAAGTCAGTTTAGGTCGGGAGAATATCGGGAGGGCATGCCTATGTACCGTATTGGGTGCGCAAAACTGTTCCGGAGTAGTCAACATGTCTACAAAATATGTGTCGTTTACACATGGGCACTGTTTGACCCGCCGCTACCAAACATGGTTGTATTGGTTCCCATTGAAACCTATGCAAAATTGTCAAGTTAGTTCGACGGTGTTTCTAATAAAATCGAGGCGATAGTGCCTGGTAGCAGCGGATATATAACCTGGCAGTGGGTAGCGTCGTGCCGTGAAGCAGAGCCATGGTAACCGCAGGCCTGGCGCCCTGACAACACCGCAGCATTCACCGCACCCATTTACCGACACATTATGCTGATCCATTGTAGTTATCTGGCCCATTGTGGTCATCTGACCTACTGTAGTTATCTCATCCATTGTAGTTTTTTCATCTATTGTCGTTTTCTGGTGGTCCATGCCAAGTCCCCGGGGATTTGCTGCTAACGCTTGGTGGTGAAAGGCACAGAAGTAACCCACGGAAACGGAAACTTTTTCTGTTTGGTGACCGGTGACCACTACAGACGAAAACACTGAAACAAGATCAACCTACATTTGTTGTCTATCAACGGTACCACACCGGGACGGGGGTGGTACCGTAAGTATCGGAAGTTCACTGATGCCTATGTATCAGTGGTGCCTATTGGTCCTGCTGTTGCGGCAGTTTTATCGATGTGTCTTGTTCTTTATTTTCAGGACAAGCAATACCTGTTGATCTCTGCCGCGGACACGCCCCAGCAGAATCTCGTGCCTTATATTCCACGCTGCAACGACTTTATTCATTCGGCGCGCAGCACCGGCGGCAGTGTGCTCATTCACTGGTACGTCATGACTGAATGTCTGATTGGTCCCATGACAGCCACGGCTCTAACTATTTATTGTGCACACCATGTTTTTGTTGTTCTGTTGGGTTAGGCCCTTTCGGTCCAATTAGACCATTTCAGAACCGGGGGATGATAGGATATAGGGGGAGACATTGGTCTGGGCAGGCACCCTAGTGAGTCACCGGGGCTCACTAGGGTGCCTGCCCTAGTGTGCTCCCTCGGGAGCAGCGGTGCCGCTCCAAGGGAGCAGCCCGCATGAGATAAAGTTGCCTGTCCAGCCCGGAGGGGGTTGCGGCGTGGAGAAGGATTTCAGTATCCTGAGGATGGAAAGACGGAACGGTTTGCACACCATGCTAAACTTGTTCCGTTATTTTCCGTCGTTAGTCGTTAACATATGAAGAATAATAAAGAGATTATGAAATAGATTGCTTTTTCGATGAAAAGATGCAGTGTTATGTTATGCATTAAGCGCTTCGATGTATAGCTGTGAGTTTGGTATATAAATTTCACAGATCCTCCCACTTGTCTCCCGCAGTATCGCCGGCATGTCCCGCAGCGTGGCCGTGGCGCTGGCTTACGTCATCAGCGTGACGTCACTGGATTGTCAGATGGCCCTGCAGGCCATGAGGGCGGCGCGACCGATCGCCAACCCCAACGAGGGCTTTCTCAAACAGCTCAGTGTCTTTGAGAACGATAAACTGGAGCAGGTAGGAACCAACGCTGCTGCCTGCAATGCGGAAAATTTCGATTAAAGGAAATAGTTCACATTTTAACATGGGTTTTGAACTGGAATAGCAGTTCCGTAGCTTGGGCTGAGACGAGCATAAATCAGGAGCTTTTACAGCCCAACGATCACCCTAGGCAAAGATATTCTATTTCTCGTCCCGAAAAATGTGTCTTGCGTTGAGGATGTGTGCCTTGCGTATATTTGTATCCAGTATGAAACGAGCATGGGTCCCGAAAATTCTTCAGAAACTAGAGAAATTATCTACGAGAACTCTAGAGAAATTCGCTCCAGTGAGGCGCTCCAGTAACAAAAGCACGAGCAGATCGCCCAAATGCCGGTGGCCGCGATAATTTCTCTAGTTCTGAAGAATTTTCGGGACCCATGCTCTTTTCATACTGGATCGCGGTGCCTTACAGAAACTGAAAAGTTCTTCCTATATCAAAAATATAGAAAATAATCTTTTGCTGTAAAAAGGTTTTATTTTCTTTGCTGATCATTTTGAACATAAAAAATCACAAATCCATTGCAAAAAAATAATTTCGTGAAAGTGAACTATTTCCTTTAAGCGTAGATATTTAGATATATAAGGTAACTGATCTACATATTATATCAGCTGGGGTGTCGTGGCGCATATTTAGTACACCAGACAGACGGACACGGACGTAATGGCTGACCAATTACAGCAAATCGAACCCTCACCCCCCCCCCCATGTTTTTCCATTTCAGGAGCGCCAGCGGCTGAAGGACAAGTTCCCGGCCTACGACTCGCGGTCGGACACGGCTCACCTGGAGCGGCTGATAATGATGTTCCGCGTCTCGCTACTGGCCGGCCAGACGTGCGAGGGCCGCTGCCTCCTCGGCCATCACTGCCCGCGCGGCATATGCAATCACTATAAACGGTGAGTGACTTTTCCCGCGCTGTGCTGGGGCTCTTGATTCGTATTTCGTATCACGCCATTCTTAAAGGTAGTGTGCCACCTTTGAAAGATTTCCCATTTTATTTTTCCTAGGATAAGAAGCTTCTGTTTTTACCTAATATCGCAAAAAAAATCAAAAATGGGCCTAAAATAGTGCTTTTTTCGCCTAAAAGTTTATCGGTTTTTCGATATGTATAACAACTGTAGTGGGCTGACCTGCAAACAGGCGTCGGCAACAATCGCGGATGCGGCGCACATGTGACAATAAGCAAAGGTCATTATAGAGTTACGACGTACGGGAATGAGTTATCAGCTGTCTAATCGTAGACAACACAATTTCGAATTTAAACTGTAAGCCTGTATTGGTATTGTTTCTTTAATTTGGCAGTCGAACATTAATTTATGGTTTGAAATACTATTTTATGTAAAATAATTGATATGAAACAGCCGTCTCTAAAGTTATGACCCCATCTCACCACATGAAAGTGGCAGAAATGACAATGATCAGCTGACGCATTTTTCTTGGCCGAAGTCAGGGCGGTGTTTCACGGGACGCTGCTACCACGCTGCTATCAAATTGCGCGAGCTGACGTCACACTTGTGGTAGTGTTGGAGCAATGGGCCTGTTGATGTTTCCATGGAAACCCAATTTGACACGTGTAAAAGCAGCGTGCTGCTATCACCGGTGAAACAGGGCCCAGAGCGCACGGCCCGACGCACCACCACCGCACCACAAAGTATGAGCAGAAGCCGCGCCCAAAGCCAGGGCCCCGGTAACGTGAGGTAGCCGAGTCGGGGCATCGTGCGCTGACCCAAGCCGGGGCCGCAGCTTTGGGCGCGGTCTACCGCATCCCCGCGGGCAGCCCCGGGCTATCACATGACACCGGGAGGACGCGTGGCCCCGGCTTGGGTCAGCGCACGCTGCCCCGACTCGGCTACCTCACGTTACCGGGGCCCTGGCTTTGGGCGCGGTCTACCGCACCACCTAACAGGCGTGTTCGAAACCGCAGGAGATGATGATGAACGGGTTTATCGAAACTTGATAGGATGAGCATATCGGTAATAGCGATTTCAGTGTGTGCATTTATTGTTCATAGTGGTGTGAAATGTGGTTGGAGTACGACCGACAACCCGTCGGGGCGAATTTCGCACTGGGGTACTCAAAATTTGAAGAATTTAAGACGTTTCCATGAGTTTTGAAGGTATGGACAAGTTCTAAAAATCCGGTTCTCCTTATCTGGGCCATTAACTCCATACGGTCCAGGAAAGCTGGCACACTACCTTTAAATGATAAATGGTTAAAGACCGCCTTTCATTTCTTCTTCTCTTGTAACTCGACCTCAATAGGATGACTTGAAAAGAAACGGTATGCACACTGACACAGCTCGAATGCCTGCCGAAAAAAAATGAAAAGTAATCGGGCTATTCTTATAAGTACGTTAAAAGCAAAAATAATTACGTGACTTTTGTGCGTCCTGAGATCGCCGATGGCATGACGTAGTCAATAGCAGACATGTGCTTGGATCCGAGAGCTGGATCTATGATCTCAGTGGATCTCTCGACAAAATAGAGGGGTTGGATCTATGATCCGAGTGGATCTCTCGACAAAATTCAGGGGTTGGATCTATGATCTGAATGGATCTCTCGACAAAATTTAGGGGTCGGATCTATGATCTCTGTGGATCCAGCGGGCAAAAATTTGTGGAGGACCTATGATCTGTATGGATCTCACGACAACATGTAGCCAATGAAACCCTTATCCTACATAATTGTACACCTTACAGTGCAATACAATTGAGAATTATCACTTGTGGACATGGTTATTGGTTAAGACCACTTGTGATCATTAGGTATCATCATTAAATTTGAATTTAAATAAACAACATTTGTACTATGTAGTATTTTTAAATGTACATTTAAAAATAAACCAAGAACATGCATATTGCTACTTTTTGTGACCAATTGTAACTTTTTCATGACAGCACTGATGACAATCTTATCAACAAGCTACAGCCACTTTAATTCAATGAACAAACAGTACAGACAGATGCAGTGGCAGCAGGGCACTGCAGATTTTCATTTTGGTCTTATTCTTTCTGCAATGCCAGTAGGGCTAATGCTAAAATGCCAAAATCTATGGGGGGCACTGTACCCTGGTGCCACCCCCCCCCCCCCCCCTGTTCTGCCTCCTATGGACAGATGTTAGGAAATCAAACCTGGAAGCCAAATAGGTCAGTTTTGTTAAAAATAATCCAGCAATCCACTTCTGCCAGGTATGAAATCCCAATCCAGAATGTTCATATCAGTGGGGGAAACTGTGGTCAAATCTTCTATTTTTGGAAGCCTTCCATTTTTGGAAGGACCTTCCATAAATGGGTATGCATTTTCTAAAAATGGAAGGCTTCCAAAATTGGAAGGTCTAATCTCAGTGTTCCCAACTGTGATTCACATTCTTTGATTTAAGTTACGGCCTTTTTAAATGTGTAACATTAATAGTTGATTTTGCCATTTATGATCATTGATATAAGGAGAAGCAGCAGTGCTAGTGTTGGTAATACAGGCATGCTATGTCAATGTACATAGTGATATAATAGCATGGTGTCCTGGCGCACTGCTCTCTTTTTCTACTTCTAGAGGACACATAGAAATTCAGAAGAGAAAACAGCTGGTCAATAACCAACCAGGAGGAACACAGCTATAGCCCTGACAAAAAATGGTTTAAATTAAACTTACTATTCCTCATATAAATTGAAGATTCATGCTCCTTCGATAGAAAGTAACACGAAAAACGGCGCAGCAACGCCTATTTAATTCGTCCCATATTCCGGAAAAAACATTGAAAAATGACGAGACCTCCACCCAAATGTTTGGCAAAAGCCTTAAAAAATTGAAATCAACCACACAATATGCTAATAAATGCAGAAAACGGCAACAAATACAAGTTTTACTCGCCACTACACTCCCGAAACCGCCGCACTCTGTCCAGACAATTCCGCACTGTAAATATAGTCGGCGGTATCGAACAAGCATGGCCCGTCACTAAAGTACTTTTAAGGATATTTACTTTTCGTTTTTGATGCTTTTTGCTTACAAAATGTTTGATAAAGTCTTATAAAACCATCGTTTGTCGGTAAATTTTTGTCAATTTTCCACGACTCATTACTTTGAAAAATTACCTAAAATACATCCACGCTAGGATTTAGGCATCCACGCTAGATTATGGACACTTCACTATGGCGAATAGAAAGCGACCAGGGGCGATAGTCGCATTTGCCTCATGTTCGGCGGAAATCGGTAAGTTCCAACATATGCGCAACATTTTCTATATTTGGGTACGATGACGTCGTCAGCGTACCCATTTTTGGAAGGTGCGTACCCATATATAGAAAATCCTTCCAAAAATGGAAGGCTTTCTAAAAATGGAAGATTTGACCACAGTTTCCCCGACTGATATGAGCTATTAGTATGTGCAACACAATTTCGATTTAGTAAGAATAACAACCAACCTCTAATACTTTCCTAATAAAATTACAAGTTCAAAAATGGCATCAACTTCTTCAGATTACCTACTTTTTGCCACTTTTGGCACCAGGTGCCAACTGCCACGTGTGGTGCCACGCTGTGTTTTTGTTATGAGAGAGCCTCCAAAAAAAAAGACAAACGAAATTCACAGCTCACGTTTTGGTAATATGGTTTTATTACGTCATCATCGTTTGACCAATGAAAAATCTTCATTTGACCAAGACCGTAATGATTCCAAAAGATTCCCCGTAAAAGGCCCTTCAAACTAATGACGTAAGATATTGTTATTCTGTTGAAAAGTGAATAAAATAAAGATGCAAGGCGCACACCGCTCAAGGCCATGTAATACCGTTTCAGCTTACGTTTACGTCATTAAATTCAACGCTACAAAGATGATATTCACAAACAATCGTATCGTAAAATTATGTGAGGCAGAAAAAATGAACATTCTTTAAAAAAAGCTCCAGACTTTTGAATTTCCAGTTTGATTTTTTATTTATTTTCATTATACTCGAAGGTAGAACGCCTAGCTCATTTGTTATTTGGAATGACGTCACGAGTTCAATTCAGATACTGAATAATCATTTTACGGTAAATATCCAAGGCCATTACAATTGATATTTCGCTTCCCATCGCTTCCGCAGGCTGTTGAATATTTTTATACTTTTGTTTATATTTCAGTTTATTTTATCAAATATTTATTTCAATAGATTGAAATACCTTTACCTAACCAAGCCACATGTGTCAGTATCATCTTTTATTGTTTATCAATCAATTGTGGTAGCTGGAAACTGGAAAGCCTCATGGTTGTCTAATGCAAGATCAATGAGATTGTCTTATCAATATCATTATGTAGATTCTAACATGAATTGTGATGTGGTAGGTACCTAGTTATGTATTGTTCATTAGTCATTACTTTGACTTACCTCTATGTTAATTGTTAATGCAAACTTTTCTGTTGGTATGTGAACTGTGAACAATCTTCATGTCACTCAACTCAATTCTCTCAAGTTGTGACCGTCATGAGCCTCCTTTATTTTGTATTCTGTATAATGTAACTGGATGCCTTTACTAATATGGTCTTTGTATAAGATTGTTTGTTTCTAACCATACTTTGGTATTCATAACTTCTTATGAAAGAAAGTTGTTAACATTTTGAGCACCTATGAGCTATGATCCCAATGGATCTCACGACAAAATTGGGTAGCCAGATCTATGATCCGAGTGGATCTAGCGACAAAATTGAAGGGTCAGATCTATGATCCCAGTAGATCTCTCGACAAAATTGAGGGGTTGGATCTATGATCTGAATGGATCTCGGATCGGGATCCATGGGATCGGATCTCAGATCCATTTTTCCGGATCCAAGCACATGTCTGGTCAATAGTTATTAGTCATCGTCATCTGGACCATCCCCTGTCCATACTCATCAATAATCAATATTCATTTAGTCGGCCATTCATGTCTGCCGAGCAGGACGGTGGGCATCTTTCGTCACCGCTGGTCCAGCCACAGCTCACTGCCCAGCTCTCCAGGACCCAGTCGGGCGCGCACCGGTCTCAGTGGCAGCCAGCGCTCGGCCAGCACGCGGTCCCTGACCGGCCGACTGGAGTCGCCTCAGCCGGACCGCCGCCACCTCAGCCCGGCCCCCAGTCCACTGGCGCCGCGCCGGCTGCACTAGCGTCTACCCCACCGGCAGCTCTGGTGCTCAGCCGAACGGCTGGGTACACAGACACAGAGGTCCCCACACGCAGCTACACCGCCTAGTCTGGGGAGTCAGATGAGATCCTTCCACCATGTAACACTGCAACACAATGAAATGCGCGTTTTTGTTGTCTCTGCCTCTTTTATGGGACGCTCAATTATAGCTCAACTAGTTATCACGTGTATCTTTTGTTGTTGCGAAACTGCTGCATTTTTGGTTTTGCGTTGTTGATACCGTTACTTATTGTTACACTTGTTGATGATAGAGTAATTATATATTCTTATTGTTGTTAATCTAATGGCACTTCTATCACAAATCGATGTTAAACACTGTTCGCTGTTCTCTATTCTTAAGCATAGATTTCACTGTCATTGCTTGTACCTACTGACCGATTTTCTGCAACCTTCTTCTTCAGCAGGGCAATAGAGCAGCGTTTCCCTCGAAAAAAAATAAATAACAACATGCTTCAAACGGGTGTGACCAGGATTGATCGTTGCCATGTTTCCAGAGAAATAGTGGATAGAAGACGATAACAAAACTACTTTTACGTCACATATTCTTGTCACGGGCACGGACCGCAACAGGCGGTAACTTATCTTTTATCTAAGTAAGGCACTGATAACGGCTTACTAGTTACTGAGTGATGTATAGACAAATAGATATATATTGAGTAGGAAAAACATACAGCACATGGGTGGACGCGTTTCGTCAGAGACTTTTTTCATCTGAATCTGATTGCAGAATGCTTTGACATCGTTATGCTGTACGAAGATGCGTGATGGAATAATTCCTACCGGTCCAGGCTGTGATAGATGATAGATGAGTCGTTGCTGACCCTAACGAGGGGTTCAGCGTTATATGGCCTAAATAGTCATAAGTCAAAGGACAAACATGCTATCGCATCCTGTATGGTATTTATTGACTTTCAGCTGTCAAAATAGTATTTGTGCGTCAGTAACAGTTCAAATTGTCAACGTGAATTATTGTTGTACATGACATGAGGTCTGGAAAACAGCACTCGCTCACTTTGACATCCAGCTTTTTGTCATGCAGATATGTCTACGCAGACTCCGTATTTCTGCCACCTTGAACCTTCAGCGCCACAGTTGAGCACTAACCTCTGCCGGCGCAAGGTACTAGCCTCTGCCGGCGCTGCACGAATCCGCGCCTCCCTGAACGTTGCGCACCAGGACCAGCTCAATCTCGAGTGTGACGTAGGACTCGGGGCAGCAGGGGTACTGCTTGTCGATGCGGGCGATGGACGAGGATTCGATGACCCACCTGCCGGCCGGCTCGTAGCCGCTCAGGTCGACAGAGTTGCTCTGTCGCTTCAGGTCCACCTGATCGGTGCTGTAGGTCCACGAGCCGAGTTTGAGCGGGCAGACGATACGGTCCGGGTTGGAGGCCTGCTGGCGCCGACAGCGGACCTGAACACTCACCGGCGGCACGTAGATGACCTCTCCGCTGCGCGAGACAAGCGCCGGCGTCGGCAGCAGCCACTCGCTCACCGTCGGAACCATGTTGTACGGGTAGATGTCGGGCGTCCACATATCGCCTGGCATGATGCGTGTGCGCTCCACCGGGCCCCCGCTCCACGCCAGACGGCTGTTCTGCCAGGAGAGGAAGAGCCAGCCGCCGACCGTGGTCTTCAGCTCCTTCTCGTCGACGTCGATATCGACAGGCATGAAGCCGAGGGTGACGCTCAGCTGGTCGTCGTGCCGATCCACGGGGCGAACCATCAGGTGCCGCTGCGGCCCGGCCAGCGGGGCCAGCTTCAGTTCCTCGTTGTCACCGGCAGCCAGACCGGCCAGAGCCAGACAGCAGAGTGCCGCGCGCAGCATGTCTGGGACTGGTGTGAGCGCTCTGCGACTCACACAGAAACTGACACCGCTGCCGACAACAGCTACCTCCTTATGTGGGCGCCAAAATATTCAGACAGACCGTGCTTCATTGTGTCAACTGGTCGTAACAAGCTCAATTAACCCCGATGGGCGTGATCGAACCGACAAGCCATATCCGCCAGACGCCAGATGCTAGCGACAGTCTGTCTGCCGGTAGTCGTGTTTCATCATAAATTGTCTACATCAACTACATAATGCCCCATTATAAGCGTAGTCCTTTCGTTTTTCTAACTCGCACACTAGCCCACAAAGCCATAGACGTAAGTCAGTCAGTTTGAGGGCTTGCTTACCACAGACCAGCCATCTATCGATTTGGGTAGGTATTGGTAATCTTGTAATCGAGATTAGCCTGTGGATGTGGTTGGGATCTCGGAATCGTCCCGGTACAAACGGGCCACCGGTGGTGGACGATGCGGGCTGGGCTATTGGTATGAGCGAGCCGGCCGACGGTCTGCGCACTACCTGGGTCCTGGGACTGAATGAGTGGATGAGGTTCGGTCTTCGGAGCGAGCGAGGGCCAAATGCCTGTCGAGGGCAAGGAAATGTCAAAGCCGCAAAATATGATGGCATGCTTGAATCAGGAGCTACACGGTTGCTGTCCGACTGATCACCCGTCACTGACTGACATCGAGGTCACCCAGTGACCCAGTCCCAGTCTTGCTAGAGGTTACCACGCCCCACGGAAGCATACTCCGATGAGAGCCACACACGACAGATCATGACAAACGTCTTGCAATGCTTGCATGGACCGACGCCGAGCGGCTTAGTTTTGGGGGCGGGGTGCACGTTCTGAGGCGCTCATTTATGGGTTCTTATGTGATCGACGGCAAATACGATTGGCTTGCGCAGCCTTGACGTCATAATACCGTGAATGGAGGGCGACGCGAAAATGCTTACTACTTTAGGGCCTACGTTGATTCACAGAACCGAAATCCACACAATCCTGACGCATTAGCGTGCGTAGGTAAGCTTAAAATATTTTAATTTTTCTGCAATCAAATATCTGTTCCAGGCATACTTATTGGTGACTAGTGAGTGTTGACTGTGATCAGAGCTGGTATACTCTTTTTTCATAATCTAGATGCTTTCTCATTCATTTACTGTTGAGTGAAGGCCTATGTTGATTGTCTCCAAATTCCAGGCCCATGTCGTCCCCTATCTCCCTGTGTGTCCAAGTGCACAGATGACGTCACACGAAGGGGCGGAGTCGGGGGCGGAGCCTAGCGCAACGGCCGCCATATTTGAATTTGTTTTATAAGAATGTAATCTATATTTTGGTTTTCAGTCAATTGTTATCGATAGTTTTATGAACGTTTGGCTGTAATATAAGCGATTTTTAAAGAAAAAACACATATTCTGCTTGCAATTTCGATTTGAGTCCGACCCGCGCCTAGATTCGAGCGCACGACCTTTGGCTCACGGTGCAAGCATCCTAACCACTACACTACCGCGGCGGCGCAGCGGCCGGCGGAAGGGAGGCTGCGGAGGCATGGGGACTTTTCTACGCATTTTCGGAAAAACTAATGGGTTTAGTGAAAAACTGCTCTTAGATAATTCAAAGAAAAATGTCTCGTCTTTCTGATGATGCAATTAGTTTTGTGCTAACTCCAACAGAGTTTGTTCTACAGCGCTTCAAAAATCGCCCATTTACATGGGACTCAAACGGGGCTTCAAGACTTGCCCCCAGATGACGTCACGAGCTGACGTCACGATCAGGTAGAATCGCCGGACGACCCTACCTGGTATATAGGGCCTTGCCAAATTCTAAAGGAATATATCAGTTGGGGAAACTACGAGGAGCCAAACAAAAATTGGATTAGCCAATCAGCGTCTGGAGTGGGCGGGGCGATGACCATATATGGTCATAAAATCAGACAACCTCATCTTTTCAATGAATTTTAGCATTCAAATTAAAAAATAAGGCATAAGGATGTTTTTTAACCACACAAGGCCTACACTCACCCGGTGCATAATTAACTGGCGGCTCTAAATCGCAGAGATACAACGCAAGGTCAAACCGTGATTGGCAAATATGGGGGATTGAAACAGACGCGCCAAAAAATGTAAGCAGTACCGTGGTTTAAAAATGTCATTATTTTTATTATTTTGTTTATGGTTTTTCTAATTGTAGTTAAGTTATTATTTTAGAATTAAATATTTTTGTTTATTGTAATTAAATTAAATCTTTTAACAATTTTCTTTCATAAAACCAATCCATTTATTGAATGGCCAGCTGATTGCGACGCCCAGAACATGCAGAAAAGCCGTTTTCCTATCGCCATTTTCGAGTCAATTCGCCGAATTTAATCAAATCACACCAATTCCTAGTGAAAAATGGAAGCCTTTTCTCTCCAATAAGTGGACGCGATACCGCAAGTACCGGCTTGTTATACTGTTTTTCACCCTTAGTAGCGGGGGCTGCATTTATGCCCATATATGGTCATCAAAAGTCCATTTATTGACCAATCCATTTTTTGACGTTCGCCTCGTAGTTTCCCCAACTGATATTTATGTGAAATAAAAGGGCTTCCAGCAACTTCTTGGCTTTGCATTTGAATTGTTCTGAATAGTACATGACCATAGGGCTGTTCACGGGCACTGCACACTGCTGTGTGCGGTGGGTCCAGCAGGCGTGGGGGTAGGGGATGGGACTGGGTAGGCGGTTCTGACGTCACGGCTGCGTGCGGTGGACGGTTTCCTGTGGCTGGTCCCAGGCTGATGCACGGACGCAGTGGGCGGAGCTTGGAGGCTGTGTGCGGTCCGACCGCACGCAGGGCCCATGAACAGCCCTCATGATTTCAAATGCATGGTAAATTTGCCCATTTACTTTGCCAGCATGGGGCACATTTTTAGAGATTTTCATTGAGTGAAGTGATGATGATCAGGGGCAGCACTTGATTGGAATTAATTGGACCATTTCATTTTGCTAACATAATTTTTATGTTTTTAGTCCTATAGAGGAGCCATTATAGTAATTGGACCTCATGGCCTTCCCCTTGTGTTGTGTTGCTGAATGTCATTTTTGCCAGCATGCTGGCACTGCCAGTCAGTATATTGAAATGCTGTTCATATTTTTGATGCCATGAAGAACATTTTTAAGGAGGATGGTAGCAAACTTTGGTATCAGTAAAGCTGGCATCTCTGTCAGCATATCTAACCTAACCGAACCTACACCTGCAGCATTCCAACCTGCTAAACTGGAGTAGTCAGTTGAGAGTAGTCAACGTTGCCAAACTGGAACAACTGTATAGCATGTTTTGAACTGGCATGTCTTGTGAGACAGGGTTCCTATCCTTCCTTACCAGCCCTTTTTTCTAAGACTACCAAGCGAAGGGAACCCAACCAGGTAAGTAAGTAAACCAGGTAAGCTAAGAAGTAACAATAACATACAACCTGCAGTCTTGTAAACTTACAAGTTACAGCCTACCTACAACCTTGAACCTACCAACCTTCAATCTACATGCTACAACCTACCCTGCAATATATTGCTCATTATAAAATATACTCTGACAGTAACATCAACTTTACCAATCCCAAACTTTCATCCAAGGCAGTATATACCTTTCATCATTCAGCTTTGATCATGCAGTTTTTGCCTTCTGGTGAGCATATACCTAATTCAAGGAACTAAAGGTTTGACCTTGCTTTTGATTTATTTTTGTCATTAGATATTTCTGTCCATGATTTGAAGCTTGGCATGGGTGTCCACATCAGTGATCAGCCACATTGTATTTTCATGAGCAGCTGTAAAAATCATATGCCACAGTGAAAAATACTATGTACCTATTCTTTGATCATTTTTGCAGCAGTTATGCAGTTCCTAAGGCATTCAGTTCTGTTGCAAAGCATTGAGAGTTTTTTATATGTACCAAATTGTGATCCTCAACATCAAATTCTATGGAATCTGCGACATCATATAATCAAGCTCTTCATTGCCTCTGACATTGAGATCAAGAAGATCTTGGAGATCATGGAGATCTTGAGAGATCAAACAGACAATTATGCCCTGAGGTGTTCCTAAGCTGAAATGGATAAAAGATACCAGATTTGAGGTGAATGGCATTAAGGTATGAATTATGATGCCTTATGACTCTTTATATCCCAGTTTCATCCATTCCAATGTCATTTAAGATCATGAAAGCTACCATCGGCCATTTTCCAACAAAAAGCACATTATGCGTTATGTCTAATGAGAGGAATGCATTATTTTCACTTTTGGTACCAGTATTTTTTGCTTTGTGACTATTTATTTTTCTTAAAACTCTGAGCCAAAACTGAAATTGATTTTTGTGTCATTGATCTCGCCTGTGATGCCACAAGTTGACCTGGGCTGATACTTAAGGTATATATTTTTTACTTTCCCACATGGAAAACAGCATGCTCATTTTTTGCAAAGCACAAGATGGAAAAGGTTGTTACTCCCCCCGCCCCCCCCCCCCCTCGTATGCTATCGAAGGATAGGTACATTTTTTTCGAAAGGATAGTGACAAACGGCGCGCCCGCCACCGTTTTTGGTACACCTGTTCATGCGTCATTTCCGCAGATGCCGTGAAAATTTCAGACCCGGGTCGTTCAAGGTCAGGTCACCAGGTTGTCGTACTGCGCGGTGGGTAGCGCGTGGCTGGACGGACGGTCTGTGCGAATCTATTGATCTGTGGCTGATCTATTAGAGTGTCCGTCCGAGAGCCGTACGACGGCTGACAGAGCCTGGTGGTCGCGAACTGGTGTGGTAACCGTTACGCCCACCTGGGACGCCCGAGTCGGTACGGCACTTGCGGTGTCGTAACTGGATCGGCGGGAACCAGCAGAACGCTGTTGGACCGGTGGCAAAAGTCGGAACCGAGCACTCGCCCACCAGTGGGGCGTCTGGTCGAGCAGGTCTACCCGCTAAGGCAGCCTGAGCACGAACCAGGGGCAGGGTCCGATCAGTGACCGCGGTCCGACCAGGGTGTCAGCGCAATGGCCAGTCAGAGGCGTCTTTAAGGGCGCAGAAGCCCACCTCGGTCGACTGTGGCCGGTGCAACCTAGTCAGGTCGGTTGAGTGAATCTCCGTGGCCTTCCTCCCCCTCAGCGCCGTGACTCTTCTCCAAAGGCCCGAACCGTTTTATCCGTGTATTTGTCTTCCGGCGAGTAATTCCAAAGATCAGAGCAGCAGAATGTTGAGTGAAAACAGTAACAATCTAAATGATCTAAATGATTACGTAGCTAATTGCAGCTAATCACAGTAATGATCCCTACAAGGTCACGTCAGTGACCTTACCTCAGAAAAAGTTCAAGGGCTCGCTATAGCTACACCAACGGAACGATTACTTTGAAAATTTCAGCGATTGATATGAGTAACAGTATGTATAAAATGTATATCTCGGATTTTGTTATCTGTGACCTAAGGTCAGGTCAATTTTGCGACCTCTCCATTATCTCGCGCCGGGCCGGGGGGGGGGGGTCTGAACTCTGAACCTCCCCCTTCTAACTCGGCTCCTGGGCCACGTAGCGACACGCGGTAAGCGGCAATCAAAAGAACGTCCAAAATAAGGACCAAAACACTTCGGTCATTTTTTGGGTCAGGTCAAAGGTCAGGTCACCAAACGTAAAATGTTGGCTATTTCAACATTTTGGAAACTGCCAACGGCTTACTCGGGAACCGATAGAGCTACAGCGCTGCGGAAGAGCGATTTCGATAGCTCTTTTAATGCTCTTTCACCAGAATGCCCTCAGATTTGACCTTGTCAACGGTGTAGCCTCCGCCCTCCCAAAAACTCCAGAAATAGCCGTTTTTACGAAGTGTTTTTCGGCAATAACTTTACGACATTACTTTTGCCAGCATCGTGTTTCTCTCGTCGAGACGCTTCGAATGAATTATAATTTGACCTTGAAAGGTCAACATGAAAATTTGACCTCAGGTCAAGGTCATGACCTGACCGGAAAAGGTCATCTTGCATATCAGTCGATCTGCATCGTCGAGCCGAACACATTTAAGGCGTTTTCATCGCTCTAGCATACCTCAATTAGAAGTTATTAGCGAAAAGCTGTTAGATACTATGTGACCTGAGATGACCCCAGGGACATAACGAGTTGCCACAGGTGCCATTTTTTGGTTCAGTGTGTCAATTCTACCTGCATCCCGATGTTTGAGAGTGTCTAGAATGGCGTTCGTGCAAAAGAGACGCTTTTCAATTTTCTCCCATTGACTTATACCTAATAGCGAGGCCACAAAATTTACCTGACCTTAGGTCACCGATATCAAAATTCCGAGATATACGTTTTATAGATACTGTTACTCTTATCAATCGCTGAAAGTTTCAAGGTAATCGTTCAGTCGGTGTAGGTATGACGAGCATTCTAATTTTTATTTTTCTGAGGTGAGGTCACTTGGCGTGACCGGGTGACCTGACCTTAAGCGACCTGGGTCTTAAATTTTCACATGTGCGGAAAAGATGCACAAACAGGTGTGCCAAAAATGCGCCGCCGTTTTTGAGGTATCTGCGAAAAACCGCAATGAGGTTGGGGGTGTTCATCCGGGACGGGGGTGTCCCGGATGGGTTACAAGTCAATGAAAAAAAAAATGAAATGCGCCTCTTTTGGACGAATGTCGTTCAAAACGGTCTCAAACATAGGCACCTACGCAAACATGACACACTGAATCGGAAAAATGCACCTGTGGGCTGTGACCCCTCTGTGTGCCCCTGAGGTCATCTCAGGTCATGAACGGTCACCAGCAGTTTTTTTGGCAATAACTTTTGATAAAGACGTGCTAGAGCGTCGAAAACACGTCAGATGTGTTCAGCTCGACGATACGGATCGACTGATATGCAACATGAACCTTTCCGGTCATGTCATGACTTTGACCTGAGGTCAAATTTTCAAGATGACCTTGCAAGGTCAACAAATAATTCATTCGACGCACCTCGATGGGAGGAACAAGATGTTGCTAAAAGTAATGTCGTGGCTCTCTTGAGTCAAAAGTTAATGCCGAAAAATATTTTTTCGTGAAAATGGCTACTGTTACAGTTTTTTGCCCTCTGGAGGCTAAACCGCTGACCTGAGGTCAAATCTGAGAACACTTATCAGAAAGGTCTGTAAAAGGGCTATCGAATGCGCTTTTCCGCATCGCTGTAGCTCTATTGGTTCCCGGGTAATCCGTCGGCAGTTACCAAAATTACCTATTGAAATGGATTAAATTTGACCTTTTCTGACCTCTGGTGACCTGACCTTTGACCTGATCTGAAAATGACCGAAATGTTTCCGTCATGATTTTTGACGCTTTTTCGATCGCCGCTTACCGCGTGTCGCTACGTGGCCCAGGAGCCGAGTTAGAAGGGGGCGTGAAAACGCTCCCCCTCCCCCAGCACTCGGCGGAAAGTTCAGGCCACCAGCACGGCCCGGGTTAAAAAGTATTGTAGCAAAGCGATTTTTACCAGAATGGCTATTTTTTACATTCAGACCTTCATCGGTAGCATACTCTAAACTGACCTCATATCTTTGTTTCCAGTAACATCACCTATGAGGTCTGCTGCGCGCGCATGAGCGGGGCATGAGCGGACTCGCGTGACCTGTACAGGATGGCCGCCTCCAGTTTCCGCGTCAGCTGGAACAGCTTCCCGTCTCACGTGCTGTCCGCCCTGGACAACCTGCGTCTGGACGAGGACTTTGTCGACGTGTCCATCTACTGCGGCCGCCGGCTCATCAAGGCCCATCGCAATGTGCTCTCAGCGAGCAGTAACTATTTCAAAGAGATTTTCAAGGTGAGCTCGGTTTATTTACGTTAATCAACAGTGTGGATGTCTCTTTCGTTGATTTATGCTTCCCTTCAGACTGCATTCATTGCATGCTTAACGTCAAACTTCTAGATATTTAACGTTACACGGTTAGACGCGATTCCCCTTACTATAGTGTTTGCGTACCCTTACGTTGTCTGATTTCCATTTTGTGTCTGGAATAGTCACGTCTCCTGGCTCGCGCTGATGCCGTACTGTGGAGCCATCAAGCAAATGTAATGATTGAAGCAGCCCATCCACCATTTCGGTAATCGGAGACACTCTGTCACAAGTTGGCGTGCTTTCGGCAGTCGAACCCGAGTTCGCACCCGGTGGTGATTCTGTGTGACGTGGACCACGCCAGCCTGCGCAGCCTGGTCGACTTCATGTACCACGGCGAGATTGAGGTGCCGACCACGCAGCTGGATCAGCTGCTCCGGCTCGGCGAGCTGCTCCAGGTGCAGGGTATCAGCTCGCTCAAGGTCAGTACTCCTCCAGGTCACCGTCGGACCTCCCGGCCGCAGATACGTGCCAATATTCCTTACATGCGACGATGTAGTCGTCAGGTGCTAGGTGCTAGGCTAGTAGATGACAGAAATGGTGATAGTGGACAGTAGTGGTCAACGTGAAGGGATAAGTATTCATTGTTAAAATGAGACGAAAAAAATTTGAAAGCGCTGTTAGAAAAGGGTTCAAGCAACGAGGAACATTTTTAATTTGAATCGCGGAATGCATTTATAATTTCTTACGGACTCTGTTTGTGTGCTCGCGCATTCTAACGCATTTTCTAGTCCTAGAGTTACGACAATAGCCCCCATATTTGCTGTCCTCAGTCGGATTCCGTCAGCACACCTGAGGAGTCGAGCAGCTTCCCGGCGCCTCCGACGGACGAACCCGCCGCCGCCGAGCCGGCGCTCCCGGACAGTGACGTCATAGCGCCTGAGTGCGTCATCACGGAGCGGAGCGGCGGCGTGACGGGCCGGCGCCGGCGCCGCTCGCGCCGCCGCACCACCAGCGCGGGGGAGGCGGCCGCCGACGCGGGCCCCGCGCCGACGGTCGTCAGCGGGCAGGCGCCGCTGCCAATGTCGACCGGACCAGCCCTGAGCTGCGGGGCTCCGCCGCTACCACCTCCACCGCCGCCAGCAGCGGCACACGACCTTCCGACGGCGCCAGTCCAGCAGGCGGGCTCGGCCGGCGAGACGCCGCAGGGGACGGCCGAGCCGGCGGGCCAGGCGGCGCCGGAGGGCGGCCCCCACTCGCAGCTCCGGGTGAAGGCAGAGTGGCCCGACGAGCCGGCCCCGGACGCGCCGTCAGACTCCTCCAAACTGCTGCTGGACGAGAGCGGTGAGTGGACTGGGGCGGGTGCGGGTCCGCCGCCGAGTGAGGGCGACGCCGGGTGTCCGCTGCTGAGCTGGAGCGGCGCGGTGCCCGGCGCGGTCAGTGGGCGACTGTCCACCCACCGGAATTTTATTGATGCCTATGCAGATATAAAGCACAATGTAGCATGTCCAAAATAGCTCGCTTAACGTGTGAAGTTTGAACGTCTTCCGAAATTCTTATGTTAACCCTGCTCTCGTGCTCTGCTGGTGGTGCTTAGAGAGGCCGGAGTTCGAGAATACATTTTATGTTCACAAACAATAGTTTTACGCTAGTTGTGTATTCGATTTGTCTTTCATGTCTGTTACTTATAGTCAGCAGGTTTGTATTTGCGCCACAATCACCCGTTATATGTCGTTGCGAATAGCTATGACGCATTCCATCCTTAAAGGATGGAATGCGTCATACTTCCTTTACATATATTAGATTTAATGTAGACTGGATATGTCACAGTAACATAATTGGACGGTAACTCTTGTCCATGATGCGCTCGATGTTGATTGTTCTGTGTTACATATTCGTCTGCTTTTTCAGAACATTCTGGTCTGGATATGTCACAATACTCTGGCGGAATATTTGGAGGCGGAGTGGGTGAGTAAGGCGCACCGCTTATAAAAAAGATCATGCGCGGAATTTTACAAAGAATACACATACTTTTTTCTGTACATATATTGAGCTATGCCTGTTGGCAGAATAAATTAATGGGATGCCCATTTCCAGCACAAAGAGCGGTCTTTGAATTTCACCGGGGCAGTCTCACACCTTGTGCCGCCACACAATGTATTTTCTTATAACCGTGTTAGGTATCGTGAACTCCTACAGGTCCTCACGAACCACTGATGTGGTTGATTGACGGCGCCATCTATTCCGCAGGGTCTCGGAGGCCGCTGACCGGCGCCGAAAGAGCGAGACGCTACCGTGAGCGGAAAAAGCTGAAGAAGCTTTACGAGGCGCTACTGGGCGGCTCCCCGCGACGGGAGCAGCTGACCGTGCAGCTGTGAGCGGGAGCTCCGCTGAGACGACGCACATCGCAGGCAGCTACTGAGACAGGTCCGTCGATTGCCAATGAACAAACAACTGTGGATAGGTGGCGAGGTGCAGCCCGTCACGCGTCAGCAGGTAGTGGGCGATAGATCGCATCGCGCAATTGTGCCATGGAAAGAGTGGCTGAGGTCGCTTAGAAATTAATTGATGTATGCGGGAAGTTTTGCCATTTTAGAGCGTTATTGTCGGTGTTTATGAGGTGGCGTAAGTGCTCTCTCCGATCTCTGAGAGCCGTGTGACTGGTGGGTGCCATTCATCTGATGGGCCATCTGGTGCCATATTGCGGCGTGCGCTGCCCCGAGCCGGCGGACCTAGTACAAAGCTGCTGCGCCCGGCCCGTCGGCGGCCCGCTGACGTGCAACAGTCTGGTCATGGCCCGAATCAAAACGGTGCGGCGTGAGGCACCGGTGCGGCCGGCGAGTGAGCCGCGGCGGAAGCCCGGCGGGGCTGCACTGGCCTGGTGTGTAGGTAGAAGCAGCCTGATATCCTGCTCTGTGGAGCTTGTGCCAGAGAGAAATTGAATGTATGTTTATGTTAGGCAATGTGTCAGCGCGTTATGTTCTTTTGAACTGGGCTGTCCTCTTCACTCATTCCACTGAAAGGCAGTAGCGCATCTGGGTGTTACTCGCGCTCGCTCGCATAATTCAGCTAGGCTTTTTTTCATTGAACGTTAATCAACGAACGAGTTTAATGCTCATATGAGCCGGCTGATTTGGGTTGTGTAGTTAGTGGTCGAAGTGTTGCGATGTGTTCGAAACGCCGGCCGACATCACGGAGTATTGAGTCGGCTGGCGTCAGCTTCATAGATCTGCTTGCCGGTTGTGGTCTGTAGATACGCTCCAGTGCAAGGTAGTGCCGGCGAGAGCCGCGCAGTCCCGCTAGTTACTAATCACGGTTGTGGTAACGCGAGGCGTGGTGCGAGTGTCCGCGACCTGTGACCGCCCTCTGTGATCTGACCTCGGGCCTCGCCCTCAATCGGTCAGCAGGCGAGACACAGGCCGAGTTTAGATAATGTCGTTTTGCTCACCGTTTGGCGCTTTCGTGTCCCCGCGATGATGGCGGCGGTGCGTTTTCGCGACTCGTATTTGTGCCAAAGCCCGACCCTCCCTGTTCTGGCGGGCGCCGTACATCCTCTGTGGCGACCTTGGTGAGTGTGTTAGGGAAGATTGTGTCTGCTGGTCGCATGATCCGGCTAGGTGTGACGTTGCCCCAGCCCTCCCTTCCGATGCGAACGCTAGTATCTCGCTCCCGTCTCCCGATGTCGCCATTCCTGAGCGGTCCGTGAATTTGCCATTGGGGAAGTACACCAAGGGAAGGGCTCTGGTTCCGGAACTGATCGGAGCATTACAACGAACCGGGTGTAGCACACTACTCAGCTTAATAATGCTCCATTAATGTCGGTATCTCTGTATCGTTTTCCAGAGTTCTCTCTGATGTCTGTTGTTTCCACCATGACTGCTTTAACGTTTGGTACAACTGACCACTGGCTGCTGTGTATGTGCGCTCCGATGTTGACCATGTGTGCGCTGCTCACTTCCCTGGAGTACGCAATACATCGATGTCTCTGTACTAACGAGCCGGACCGAGTGTTGGTGGCGCTGGACGGAGTATGCATTCACTTCTTTCTGTATGTTCTGTCAACTTCGAATTTCGCCTCCAAAGCGACAGCTAAGAAGGGAATTTATGGGAACAATTTCATTATGTTTTTGCTCGGGTTGATTCAACGAGATGTTGGGTTGGGGGTAGAATGAGAAGGCACTAGGGGGGAGGCTCAAGGCTACTGAAAGATTGCCCCTGATGACGTCATAGGATCGTGGGGAGACGGAAGGTATGTCCGGTATGTTCAAATTCAGTGTCCTTGGTCATTATTTTTGTTTACCTTGCGCACGTCAAATTGCTCTCAAGGCCCTATATTGATATACTATTGCCTTTTCCTTTTGCTATTGATTCAAAATCTGCAAAAGCGTTCTGCTCCAGGCTCCAGTCCTCACATTCTGTTCCTACGTATATGTGTTGCTAATATTTTTTTATCGAATATTAAATATTTAATACGCTTATGAGTTACGAGCAGTTACGAGCAACATCAGCTACAAGTTAAAGCTGAACCTTTGCGAATCTGCAAAGATATCAATATCAGGAGGATGACATCCAGGATGTATGAATTAAGGTTGGTGGATGGGTATTAGTATTTATATACACTGTGGGTATTGGTAGAGCATGGACCAAGGAGAAGCTCAGAAGTACTATATCCAGAGGCCTGTTTCAGCCTTGATATTCTGCAGGGTGTGACATCACACGTCTGGTGAAGTCGCAGACCTCGTATGGCACAATATTTCTTGAAACACTCCGGTTGAATATTCTGCAGAGCAGCTAAATGCGGCAATCGCTTTCATCAGTACGAAACGATTTTACACGAAAGCCACGAAAATAACACATGTGTTTACCAAATATTCTGTTAGGTTAATAGCTCACCAATTTATGCTATTACGACTCCCAATAATACCCATAAGAAAGCAACGTGCCTCAATTCAATCCTTTGCCTTTGGTGTGCCACAATGAGTAGCAAAACCATCTGAATCACGAAAAATTTGCAGCAGAATATTCTGTCGTGACGTCATACGTTAGAAGCTCTGCCCACTGATGCCTACTGGGCATGTGTCATGGAATAATATTCCATAATATTTCATGCAGAAACAGGCCTCAGAGGTGCTTCTTTCTAACAAAACCTGAACAAACCTAAACATGACCTACATAACCTTCCCTACAACCTTAAAACCTACAACCTACATCCTACAAACCTTCCCTAACAACCTGAAATCTGACAGCGACTCCTCACTCCTCAGTTGGAAAACCTTCATGTTACATCTGCTTTACTGATGCCAGTGGATGTGTATGATTAGGAACAATACCAAAAGGCAAAAACTTGACTATTTATTTACATTTTCTTTACATGGCCATAATTTTGAGATCATTTACTTTGCTATTGCAGTTTGTACCCTGACCCTCAACCCTGCTCCATGCCACATCATTGTGATGCTTTTAGGCATTGGTGTTTTAGACAATGTCAATGAGATCGCATTGGTTTGTTCTTAATTAGTTATTGCACAGCATCTGCTGTTTGGTGTGGTACCTATTTTGTAGTGACATATGTGGAATTTCCATTGAGTGTTGTGGGCACTGGGCTATACTGTCATACTGTTAAAATGGTATTAAACACTTCGTTCATTCTTCTTGATGATAGGCATTGGTTTTGTGATGCATTTGTTGGTTACAGGTCCAGAGGTTCCATTCACAAAACTTCCCCGAAAATGCAATTACATGATTCGGGTACTACCGAACACCCAGCTCGACCTGCTTCAGAGGTGGATACACCAGCGATCAGCTCCCAGGCATTGGCTCAGGAACAGTTGGGACGTGCTGCCCGTCCTGCATCAGCAGTGGCTGGCCAGCGTACAGTGCCACAAGATGATTACATTTCAGAGGATGAAGAGCCACCGCCACCAGTAATGCAATCTGAGCCCTCTTTCCGTGATGGAAGTCCCAGGTCGTTCACAAGTGCTCGCGGCCGGCGCACTCCGCCGCCATCACCTCGGCGCACCCCGCCTCCGTCGCCGCGGCGCGCCCCGCCTCCGTCGCCGAGGCGCACCCCGCCTCCGTCGCCGCGGCGCGCCCCGCCTCCGTCGCCGCGGCGCGCCCATAAGCCGACCACTCAGTCGGTCGACTCAGCGAACTGTTCGCCGTTATCACCTCCCGTGCCTTGGTTGGAACAAAACTGTCTGTATGTGTTGGCGGGTGTAGTGGTCGTGCTGGCATTGTTCTGTGCTGGGTGCTGGTGGAGCGGCTCCGACCTGCCGCCGAAGGTGGGGTTTGCCGGTCAGCCTCCTTCCAACGCTGGTCTCGAACGGTGGCGCCAGGCGGTGGACACACTGTCCAGTCGTTTCCCGTACCAGCGGCGCCGGCTGTGGACGGTTCTGCGCGCCACCGTCAGCCGAATGCTGCTGGAGTCTCGCCAACCGGCCGTGGTTCTGCTGCTCGCCTCGGAGGCCGAGAGGGACGACGTCCAGTGCCTGATGCGCGCCGCGGCCGCGGCAGTGCTCAACGCCACGCAGTCGAGCGCGCGGCCCATTCGCGTGGACGGTACCGCACTCGGCGCTCTAGACGAGGAGGAGGCTAAAGGTCGGCTCAACAGTGAGCTGGATCGGCTGCGTGGAGGCCACGGTGTGGCAGTGTTTCTTGTGGAAGAATTACAACAACTCCAGCCCTTGACCGCCATGCTGCTGCACGGCTTTTGCGATAACGATAATGCGCCTCGCAAGGAGGCTCTCTTCCTGCTGTCGGTGGTGACGAGCCGCACGCCGCCCAGCGACAGGGACGTGGAGCGTGCCGTGGAGCACGCGCTCCGGCGCGCCTGGGGTCACGTGCTGAGCGAGGAGATATTCGATGCTCTGTTGGCCAGGATCGCCGGCAACGTGGCCGCCATCCACGACGAGGGTGGCAGCCTCATCTGTCATACACCTGGCGCCCTGTAAGACCGCCGGTGCACTGCTCGCTTGGTGGAGCACTGGATCAGCACACACTAGTGATTGTGATTTGTGGCACTGCCTACTGTTGGAAACTGGCGTTGACGTGTGCCTTTTTGGTAGGCCGGTGTGTTTGCGTGCTGGTACCATGCTGACTCGCTGTGTTATCATGACACAAGCACTGCAATCGATTCATTCATTATGGTTGTGAAGGTAATTAGGTTTGCCTTGGTGGCTTTCAGTGCATATGTGATACTTATTGCTTGATTAGGACACCTTTTTGCCCTGCACATTGACAATGATCGTCCTAGACGCTAGAGGTGCACGTCATTCATGTGTACATTATTGGAATTTAAATTAAAAAAGTGCGTGCACCGCTTGCAATTCTTCATGACATTACCTTCACTGACATTGCTTATGGTTATGACATCGGTAATGCCTTATATATCTAGTGATACTCGTGGTGAGCACATTTTCAAAAGGCGATTAATAAATTTACTTTTTGAAATAACCATGAGATCAAGTACCCTTATGGCTTGTCATCGAAACCAAGGCCGTAGGTATATACTATATAGGATCGAAACTAGATAGGGCAAGATTCATATATATGCGGGATACGGTTGTCCCAGACCCACAACTTTTACTTTGCAGCACCCCTAGGCCCTAAACGCTGTTGACCAGCATATGTTTTGATGCAACGTTCAGCACATGTCGCATGGCATCCACCAATGCCTACAGGCTACAACCTACTAAAATGTACAATTCCTTTGCGAGGGTATATCGGCAATTGACATTACTTGGCCGCTGTTATATTTTGTAACGATATTTCGTGCCGCGAAAAGATGTTTTGATTGCAAAATGTTTAACCCGCGCGGGGCGAAGGGTAAATTTTACCCCCCCCCCCCCTCGCGAATTTTTGCAATATCTCAAAAACGCCAAACTTTCACGTTCATAAAGTTGGCTTCAAATTCGGATTCGGATTCCAGCACCACATTCGTGGAAAAAATGACAAAAACGGACCCCTCAGAATCGATTTAAATTCACAGGATAGATAGAGCAGGACATGCTTATTATGAAAATAAATCACCTAGGCTTGGCACCCCCTAAGAACTGAGGAATCTCAGGTCAAAGTTCAAGGTCATTCTCGGCGGACCCTTTGGATTCTCGTAAAAATTGGTACAACTATAGTCCATGAAGAGCTGATTTCAAAAATATCAGTATCTTACTTTGGCAAGCAGCACGAACTGATATATAGTAGGTCAAAGGTCAGAATCAAGGTCACGTATGTGTAATACAGGAAGTGGAAGTGACCACGTGGTCAGGTGAGAAAGGTGGACCCCTTAGATTTCAATAATTTTATGCTCAATGATGCAACCAATGTTGGAGATGCTACTGCTGGTTTTTCTTGTTTTGGCAAGGTCAAACTACGGATAAATGACTGGTCAAAGGTCAAGGTCATTTTTAGCGGACCCTTTCGATTCACATATAAATTTTTATCACAATACAATTTTTAATTCTGGTTATTATTCTGCGTATTGTTAGGCTTGGCAGGTCTTAAATTATTTTAAAATATTTAAATAATTTAACCTTTAATTCACCTATCCCAACATGGCTACCGTGCGAGCACCTATCAAAACCTTGATGAAAATAACAAACCGAAAATCTGAGAGAAACGCGATTTGACCTTGGACGTGCCCCGTGCCAGTGCACTGGCCTTAGGGGTGCTGAAGAACTTGATTTGGTAGGTATAGTGTGTTTTGGTGTGGGTTAATGTAATTTTAATGTATTGCACGTTGCCTGATTTGCGACACAACTTACAAAATTGAAATAGCAGTCGTAAGTAGTGTCAGTGTCGCAAGTTGACCTTGCCTTGGGGTATACCGAATAGGTCACAGGTCATTCGGGTCATTGCCTCGAAATTTACGTGGTACGTGTAAAATTGTTTGAACTTGAGATCCTGAAAATTTTGTTGCAATCCATTGATGCTAATGCAAGTTATAGAGCTTGAACTGACAGGTCGTTTATGAGGCCTCCATCCATGCCAGCGAGGCAGCAAGAGTGTTGAAAATGGTCCATAATATGCTATTTCACATTTATTGGGGTATTCAGGAATTGGAAGTAGCCTAACACCATTCCAGCAACTACTGGCGAATCCAGAAAGGCGGTCTTGGACGCTGCAAGGGTCATCCCCCCAAAAAATTCTCCCGATTCCAAAAACGTGTCCCAGATGACCCCCACGACCTCCAATGAGCTCTGCGATGACCCCAAGTTGACCTTTTTGACCTGATGTGTCCCAGATGACCTCTGTGACCTCCAGTTTAGCTCTGATAACTCTAAGCTGACCTCTGTGACCTGGCATGTCCCAGATGACCTCCATTTGAGCTCTGTGATGACCCCAACTTGACCTCTAGGACCTCACGTGTCCCATATGACCTCTGTAACCTCTAAGTGATCTCTCTGATGACCCCAAGCTGAACTCTGTGACCTGACATGTCCCAGAAGACCCCCAGTTGAGCTCTGTGATGACCATAAGTTGACCTCTGTGACCTGACGTGCCTCCAAGTTGCCCTTTGTGACCGACGTGTCTCAGCTGCATCAGTGGTCTCCAATTGAGCTCTGTGATGACCCCAAGTTGACATCTGTGACCTGACGTGTCTCATATGACCTCCAATTGAGGTCTCTGATAACCCCAAGCTGACCTCTGTGACCTGACATGTTCCATATGACCTCTGTGACCTCTAAGTGACCTCCCTCATGACCCCAAGTTGACCTGTGTGACATGACGTGTCCCATATGACCTCTGCGACCTCTAAGTGATCTCTCTGATTACCCCAAGCTAACCTCTGTGACCTGACATGTCCAAGATGACCCCCATGACCTTCAATCGAGCTCTGTGATGACCCAGGTTGACCTCTGTGACTTGACATGTCCCAGATGACCTCCGTAACCTCCAATTGGGCTCTTTGATGACCCCAAGCTGACCTCTGTGACCTGACATGTCCCATATGACCTCTGTGACATCTAAGTGGCCTCCCTCATGACCCCAAGTTGACCTGTGTGACCTGACGTGTCCCAGATGACCTCCGTGACCTCCAATCGAGCTCTGATGACTCCAAGCTGACCTCTGTGACCTGATATGTCCCAGATGACCTCCAATTGAGCTCACTGATGACCCCCCAAGTTGACCTCTGTGACCTGACGTGTCCCATATGACCTCTGCGACCTCTAAGTGACCTCTCTGATGATCTTAAGCTGACCTCTGTGACCTGACGTGTCCCAGATGACCTCCGTGACCTCCAATTGAGCTTTGATGACTCCAAGCTGACCTCTGTGACCTGATATGTCCCACATGACCTCCAATTGAGCTATTTGATGATCCTAAGCTGACCTCTGTGACCTGACGTGTCCCAAATGACCCTCAGTTGAGCTCTGTGATGACCCCAAGTTGACCTCTGTGACTTGACGTGTCCCATATGACCTCTGTGACATCAAGTGACCTCTCTGATGGCTCCAAGCTGATCTCTGTGACCTGACATGTCTCAGCTGACCTCCAATTGAGCTCTCTGATAGCCCCAAGCTGACCTCTGTGACCTGACATGTCCCATATGACCTCTGTGACCTTTAAGTGACCTCCCTCATGACCCCAAGTTGACCTGTGTGACCTGACGTGTCCCAGATGACCTCCGTGACCTCCAATTGAGCTCTGATGACTCCAAGCTGATCTCTGTGACCTGATATGTCCCAGATGACCTCCAATTGAGTTCACTGATGACCCCCAAGTTGATCTCTGTGACCTGACGTGTCCCATATGAACTCTGCGACCTCTAAGTGACCTCTCTGATGACCTTAAGCTGACCTCTGTGACCTGACGTGTCCCAGATGACCTCCGTGACCTCCAATTGAGCTCTGATGACTCCAAGCTGACCTCTGTGACCTGATATGTCCCAGATGACCTCCAATTGAGCTCTTTGATGATCCTAAGCTGACCTCTCTGACCTTAGGTGTCCCAGATGACCTCCAATTGAGCTCTGATAACCCCAAGTTGACCTCTGTGACCTGACATGTCCCATATGACCTCCACGACTTCTAAGTGACCTCTCTGATGACCCCAAGCTGACATGTGACCTGACGTGTCCAAGATGACCCCCATGACCTTCAATCGAGCTCTGTGATGACCCCAAGTTGACCTTTTTGACCTGACGTGTCCCAGATGACCTCCGTGACCTCCAGTTTAGCTCTGATAACTCCAAGCTGACCTCTGTGACCTGACGTGTCCCATATGACCTCTGTGATGTCTAAGTGACTTTTCTGATGACCCCAAGCTGACCTCTGTGACCTGACGTGTCCCATATGACCTCTGTGACCTCTAAGTGACCTCTCTCATGACCCCAAGCTGACCTGTGTGACCTGACGTGTCCCAGATGACCTCCGTGACCTCCAATTGAGCTCTGATGACTCCAAGCTGACCTCTCTGACCTGATATGTCCCAGATGACCTCCAATTGAGCTCACTGATGACCCCAAGCTGACCTCTGTGACCTGACGTGTCCCATTTGACCTCTGCGACCTCTAAGTGACCTCTCTGATGACCTCAAGTTCACCTCTGTGATTTGACGTGTCCCATATGACCTCTGTGACCTCAAGTGACCTCTCTGATGACTCCAAGCTGATCTGTGACCTGACATGTCCCAGATGACCTCCAATTGAGCTCTCTGATAACCCCAAGTTGACCTCTGTGACCTGACATGTCCCATATGACCTCTGTGACCTCTAAGTGACCTCTCTCATGACCCCAAGCTGACCTGTGTGACCTGACGTGTCCCAGATGACCTCCGTGACCTCCAATTGAGCTCTGATGACTCCAAGCTGACCTCTGTGACCTGATATGTCCCAGATGACCTCTAATTGAGCTCACTGATAACCCCAAGTTGACCTGTGACCTGACGTGTCCCATATGACCTCTGCGACCTCTAAGTGACCTCTCTGTTGACCTTAAGCTGACCTCTGTGACCTGACGTGTCCCAGATGACCTCCGTGACCTCCAATTGAGCTCTAATGACTCCAAGCTGACCTCTGTGACCTGATATGTCCCAGATGACCTCCAATTGAGCTCACTGATGACCTCAAGTTGATCTTTGTGACCTGACATGTCCCATATGACCTCCACGACCTCTAAGTGACCTCTCTGATGACCCCAAGCTGACCTCTGTGACCTGACATGACCCATATGACCTCTGTGACATCTAAGTGACCTCCCTCATGACCCCAAGTTGACCTGTGTGACCTGACGTGTCCCAGATGACCTAAGTGGCCTCTCTCATGACCCCAAGCTGACCTGTGTGACCTGACGTGTCCCAGATGACATCCGTGACCTCCAATTGAGCTCTGATGACTCCAAGCTGACCTCTGTGACCTGATATGTCCCAGATGACCTCCAATTGAGCTCACTGATGTCCCCAAGTTGACCTCTATGACCTGACGTGTCCCATATGACCTCTGCGACCTCTAAGTG